TTCTGTAGGCCTTCCTACTTCTCATTTCTGTTCACCTGTTACTTCAATTTTAAAAATTACTCAGAACTGTGATAATTTTTATACTATGTTAAATGTGAATTTAATATTGATATAAATAAATAGTATAGTAAATATATAGACTATATTATTCTAGACCCATAATAATTAAATATGCATATATTGTATATTATCCACTCCTACATATCGTTGTTCTAGTTAACCTACCTTTACCGAAGCAAATAGCCGTGTTGGGCTCAGCTGTATGGCAATGCGCGTCAAATACAATTTATTGCTGAGTAATTTTATTAGTTATAAGCGAACAGCAGCTAACATCATAACAGAGAGAGAGCTGGAGAATGAGAACAGGCTGCGGAGGAGCCGTGGAATGAGGATGGGTTGAATATACCTGAATGGAATGACGAGCGGAAGTTGAAAATAACCCAATGGAGCAGGTATATATGGATATACTTATATATAAATGTATATGTATGCATGTACATTTATATGTATGCATATTATTTTGGTACAAAGAAATAAAACAACCGAAAAAATAAGACACTTTTGAAAATGGACGATCATAATGATGATGACGGAGCAGCCGGAGCAGCAGACGATGATATGGCACAAAGTGCGCGAATGCGAATGAATAGATATACAGCTAAAGATACAGCTACGGCAGCTAGGGCAACGGCTACAGATACACAGACAGACAGAGATACAGATACAGATACAGCTACAAGCGCGCATGCATATGCTGTCAACGCAACGTTGATTATCGGCTACCGTGCGGGGGCGACGGCGGCAGACAAATTGCCATTTACACCACTTACAGCGGCAGCAGCAGCAGCAGCAGCGGCAGCGACGACAACGGCGCCGACAAGTGCCAGCTACAGCAAGAGCTACAACAACAGCAACAGTAACAGCAACAACAACAGCTATAGCCATAGCTCTACAGCTGAAGCAATCGCAGCACTCTTGTAACTAGAGTTGTCTCGCTCTAACGCAAGTGCGGCAATTGCGCGTTCGGCTTGCGTTTGGCATGGGGCGTGGCCTCGTCTAGGGCACACCCCTTTGCCAATGGCAGACCGTAGCATAGTTACAGTTACATATACATATACATACATACGATTGCTCTTGCTGTTACAGTTACATTGTTGCACAGCGCAATTGTTGTTGCTGCTGTTGCTGGCGCAGATTTTTTGAGAAGCTGCCGTTGACGTTTTGAATAAATTTTAATTGAATTCGCACAATGAAACTGTTTACTTAACCTGCCACTTTGCAAGATGAGCTTCATTCACATATACACACACGCACACATGCATACACACACTGGCATGTAAAGCAACATACTTGATGCATTTACAGCTGAAAAGGCCAGCACATATATCATATATGCATGTGTGGCTCTGTGTGTGTGTGTGTGTTTGCGTAGGTGTTTACGTGTGTGCGTGTCTGTCTGCTGGTTTAATTACAACAAACGCGCGAGATTTTGTGTTAACCCTCGTTAAATATGCAACAGCAAATGAAGCGCGCCTTAAGCTCACTTCAGGCTAATGAGTCGCATATGCTCAGCGCTAATTAATAATATTAAAATTGTAGAATGTATGAATGTATTTCTGTATGTATGGACACACGTATGTACACATGTATTGTATGTATTTGCTGTGAATACAAATTGAGTGTAGCAATTTAGGCTCGACCAGACATTAACAGTTAACTGGCTTTTCAGCTATCAATGTGGTAATAAGAGGAGCACAATTGGATATAATTAAACGAGAGTTATTTAAATAATTGTATTTTATATGAAACGTGTATTATGTTGCTATAAATTGAAGCTGGTATTTGATAAATTTACACAAATCAACTGACACGATGTCAATGTCAAATTACCTGTACTTATTGTCTAGTCAGACAATAATAAAAAAAAAAAATTAAAAAAAAACTACTTAAAATATAACAACAAAAAAATCTAACTTTGTTTTTTTTTAAATAAAATATAAAATAATTTATATTTAAAATTACTTTTAGCAGTTCTACTATTCATATGAAATTGTAA